CATAATTGGGACATTATGTAAAACGTCTTCTTCTTCTGTCTTTAACACAAATGCAGTGATATCTGTCAAGATGTTTAGTGATGCCTGTGAGAAGACTCATACCTTCAGCCTTGCACAGGTTTCCATCCCAGACCCTATGACTATTGGTTTCTGTTTCTATGACAACTAAGTTGAACTATAAGTTGACTCATCTTTTACAAGCTTGAGTACAGAATTGTGGAGATAAAAAATATTGTGGTGAGGAAATGATTTCTAAGCAAAAACCTGCAGTGCAAAAAAGGAAGGGCGGGTCGGGGGTAAATCCTATTTTCTTCAAACAATGACATTTTTCAGCCAGTGTGACCATTTTTTTCCTTCTTCCTCCAAGATACAATCATCCATTCATAGAAAATAAACAGAAAATGCACCAGGATTAGTTTATTTCCGGTCTAAGTCTGAGACAGTGTTAGTTAAGAAGGATGTTTTTGCAGTGTTCTGACACACAGTAGGCTACACATTTTGCTGCCTTGCTCCCTCATCCTTCTTTGCTGAAGTGAGCTGTTTAACTTGCTTTATGATTTTTTCAGAAACATCATCTATTCACACATTTGCAGTATATAATTCATGACTGCCTGGAATGGAAAAAAATAGGATATATATTCAAGTAGAGCTTCTATAGTAACTCATAAGCCATCTATTGTATGGCAGTACTGAAATCTGTATTACTGTTTCTCACTTTTTCATCTCACAATATAAAAAAACACCAAATAAATCTCATGCACTATTGAGAGTCCTCAATTTGTACACTGTGAGGGTCTTCAGATCCCCGCAAGACATGTTGAAACAGTGAAGCAAGGAGTCACTCGAGTCCATTCATAGACTTACAAATGCTGGATTAAGCAGATGCAGCCATGGTAACATGAGGCTGGGCTGAGCATTGAGTACTTTCAGTGAAGCACAGTGAGGCACTGCCTGCGAGCTTTGTGACGCAGATCCCACTTTTGCGTATGCTTCTACTGTATGACAGACCTAAAAAAAAAAAAAAAGGCCTTCCTGCAGATAATTACAACTGATACACATCACATTAGGGATAATTTTAACATGCATTGAGACACAAAAGGCAGAAAATAACTCTTCTTTTAAAGGGATGCTGCATCTAAACGGCTACAGTGGACAGATTGTAACCAGTTTCTCTTTAATCTGACTAAAACAATGACTATTGAAGGACACATTCAAAGTGGAAGTTGATGTTAAGGCACTTTTAAATGAGTGGCACTATGGCTGAATGTGACTGAGCTGAAAGTGGATTCATGGAACAGCTTAAAATATAAAGACAAACACTTGCACTGAATTGAAACTGAACCCAATGAATGTCATCAAAAGATCCCCTAAAGCTCATAATAAAGGCAGTATGTACTGGATTAGAGGTCAGACAAAGACCTACAAAAAAACTTTTTTTATCCAGGATCAAGTAATCCTGCTTACTTTAGTCCTGTTTTGTTTTTTGATATAGAATGAATCGTGTCCATATACAGACTTTTTAGGATGACCAAATATGGATAACCTGAGCTTTAAATGGGACATCATATTCTGTGTTTTCCACGGGAGGCCGCCAAAATCCACACAAAATGAAAAATCCCAGAAGTTGCTTTAAGTCAAATATCTTGTGTTTGAAATGAACAGCTGTTGTGTGAAATACTCGATGGTTACAAAACCCTGTGTTTTTTATTTAGCAGCCGGATCTCTGCTTTATCTAGTATGTCACCATAACCATGCAGTGGTTTAACACCACAATGTTAAAATGGTCTAAATTATCGACATCATCTTCAGGAATGTTATTAGATTAATTTAATAGGCTTATTACCTTTTTTCTCCATACTAATTTTATCTTCTTCTATCATAAATGCAGCCCTTTGCTGGGATCAGGATAATCCTGACTTTTTTGGGGGATCAAAGTTATCTCAATCATTACTACTCAAAGGTTTTGAACAACACAAATTTGAGAATTATCCGAAAGAAAAGAAGACTGAATTACTTTGTCTTAAACATTTTTTATACACTTTTTCACTGACAAATCATATTCAAGTTTTCTTCCAATCCGATAGCTTTAATTCTATCAAATTGCTTACTTAACAATAAATCATGTAACTGTGTTGTGCGCTCGAAACTAGCTTAAAAGAAAAAAAAACATCCTATTCCCTATGCCTATATTTGTAATAGATCTTGTTGCTTTACACGTCTTCTGTGAAAAATGACTGAGTGCAAACTCACAGATTTCAGACACCAAACACTGCAATATCCAATTCCCCGAAGAGGCTGTCACCAAAGCCAAACTATTTAGCTTAAGTACATCCAATAATACCAACATCAGCACATGAGTGCAGCGTTAAAGCCATGTTGGAAGGATCTTGAGGTGAGTTGCTGTTACTAAGCTGCTTTAATGACGCACTAGAGAGTGAAAAGTCTTGACGCTGTCATGTTAAGTTCATTGCGTATGATCTTTCCCAGTCAAAGTTTCAGGTACTCTGTTGACTGAAATGAAGCAATCTCACCTTTTATCTGAAAAACACCCAAATCTAGGGTGTACCTGCAGCTCTATTTTTGACTCCCCGCCTCCTACCTGCTGCTGATGAATAAATGCTTTTGTTCAACTTCTGCCTCTGTGTCACTGGGGTTATGTTTTTACTTCAAAGTGTTTTACCTTTGAAACATTTTCAAATTGTCTTCTCCCATTAAAATTCAGGGTTTCTCTCAGGTTGACGTCTCAGAGACATTTTTAGACTGAAAGTCAGACAGCTGACAGAGTGATTGAGTCCCTCCTGCTGTGGAGGATTGGAGGAGGATTATGAACGCCCTGCTGTAAAATAATGACAGTGATATGACGGATTCCAGGACTCAGATTTGTGATACAGAACAACTTGTACTGCTCAGAAAAACAGTTCTGAAGCTACGGGAGCTAGGGAGGAGAGAGAAAGTGAGAGAGAGAGCGAGAGAGAGAAAGAGAGAGAGAGAGAGAGAGAGAGAGAGAGAGAGAGAGAGTAGGTGGGTTTTGTTGGGTAGGTGGGGAGCAGGTTAAAGATGTTCCATTGCTCGCCTTCCTGTTATCCCAATGGCCTTTAAGCGGCATTACTCATTTGGGAAAGAGACACTCCAGTTACATAAGCCAATGCTACAGACTCTGCCTACCAGCTAAAACCACCTCACATCCTCTGTATGTACCTGGACATAATTGCACTGTGCTATAAATTGTCAGATCAGTTTTCTCTTGCACACATCTGAAAACTGATCTGACATGCACTTGGTCAATGGCCAGGTGAAAAAAAAAACCCTCTAGTATCATAGTATCAATGTTTGCTTCTGCCGGCTTCTGAAAATGTACATCATCACACACAAATAGGTCTCAAGTGTAGCTCAGATTTGTAAAAATATTCATCTTTAATGGTAATCACTGGACTCTTGGGAGACTCAACAACCAACGCCCATCGGACTGTGTCGTCCCCACAACCACCGTCGTCCTCATTCATGCCCGGCCTGCTCCGACCTTCACCTCAGCGGCAAGGAGGTATGGACAACAGGAACGCGAGGAATACAAAGGAGAAATCCTGTCTGCATATTATCCCATACGCTCTGTTGTAAAGCGTCTCCAGATAACACTTGTTATGAATTAGCACTATACAAATAATGATTGATTGATTGACACAGATATTAAAATGTAAGTCAGAAACCAGCTCAAGAGGAATGGGTTCACAGTCACACTGTTGTTCATGAGCAATACAAGCCTGTCAAGAACACAGTTTGACTGACCTGGTGAAATTTCCTGGTTCTTTTGAGTTTCGTCTCATGTGTACCCTATGGGATTTATAACTCTTACTGGCATGACTTTCTAAAGGCATGTAAAGCAGAACTGGATCTTTCAGACTGTGTGGAGCAGAGTAGTCCACCGTCAGCTGCTTGCTTACTTGTTGGTTGTGACAGCTTTTGAGCACTATATGATGATGTGTTTGGTTGTAGAAGCAACTCAAGTGCTGCTTTCTGCCTCTTGTACTGTTGTTACTGCCAAAATCGACCCACTTTTTAGCTGCTTTTGTTTGACAAGGATAACAGCTTATATGTAGGCTATTGATTGTAGAATGTGCTTCACTGTTTAAGTGTTGATGGTTGTTTCGTTTTTAATGTTTAATTGGTGGTGCTACTGCTGAGCCAACTTAATGTGTGCAAAACTTAAGTTTGGCATAAATTAAGTTGTCTCCAAATTGGTCTTTAACTCAACTGAATCAAAGAAAAAGTACCAAAAGGGGACCATTAGATGTATCAAACTATAGTTCAAATCATTAATCTATAGGATCTCATTGCTGTTCTGCAATTTCTCCCCCTTGTCTAGCTGGTCTTATGGGGTCATATGACCGTTTACCTTTTCGGATACAACTTTGATCATGAAATGTGTAATAATTTAAAGTCTGCATGCACTTAAGTAGACTATAATCTTCACAGTATTTTAGTATCTTTAATGGCATTCTGTCAATACCGTGTAACATACTGTGTCTTTAGTAGGCTCAGGCCTAAGTATTGAAATATCTTTAACAGGCTATCAAAATGAATGAAATAAATTGGGCACCTTTGATTTAAAGGCATTGAACAGACAAAGGCACATATCTATGTGAGTGGCACCAGAGATGTGAGAAATTCAATTTTTGAGTTGGAAAGAAGCTGCTCTTGTTTTGGTGAAATTGTCTATTTAAATGAATGACATCAACTTCCGGAGGAACTTTTAGAAAAAAACCCCCAAAAAACAATTTAGAACCTGCTGTTTGATCCCTTTTAGTGCCGGGCAGTTGACGTGAAGCCTTCATCATCACCGACTTCACTCACTGTTAAACTCCCCACGGTGATGATATTTCATCAAAACATTTGCTGCACTGCTGCGCGCGCACACACAAATTTCACAGTTGGACACAGTGGCGTTTTTCGCGCGCGCGCGCGCACACACACCTCCCCTCCTTCCTGCATCATAGCCCGCTGTTCCCATCACACGTTCACGTAATACTCCGTGAACACGCTGACTTGTTGGAAATGCTCGAGTATCTCAGATCTGTCTGATAGCGCACACTGGCTGCAGGATCAGCGGAGGGAAGAAAGTGAAGCCAAACCAAGAAAGCACACTCCACTATTAGACTGAGGATTGGATTATTGATTAGCACCAGTTGACTTCATTGAAGGTAAGTGAGCGCACTTTGCTTGATCTTTGGCTAACTATCATAAGATTTTAGAGCTCTGCTGCCAAAACGTGAGAAGTGGAGAAGGTTGATGAATAACCTCCGAGGCTGTTCAACTGTTGTCTTCGGCTCTTCTCACTCTTAAACCGAGGACATATGTTTGATTTCGAAAAGTTTGGCGGCAATAAAACATTTACACTGAAATATGGCACGTGCATACAGGATAGTTTTTATGCGACAGCACCATATTTGGGTTACCTGTCTGATGCGTAAATGGTCCACTGTTGATTTTAACTGTGTAGCTGTTTGAGCAAGGTTTTCACTCATATTCCATAATGTAGCCTGCTCAGTGATGCGTTTCTTTTGTCTTTAGTTTACACATAATTGCACTAATGAGCAACAAGTTAATTCACATTATGAGCTCAATCTGCGCCTCAGTTTTACAAAAGGTATGTTTTTTCTTGATGCACACAGACTGCAGCAGCTCTTGAGCTCACAGACTCGTGTCCTTGCCTCTTTGTCATTATTTGTTATCATTCACACCAAAAGAGTTTGTGTATACAGTAATGTTCCAATTAAGGCCAAACTTGATATAGACTCCATAGGGTGGAAAGTTCTCTGACATATCCTATTATTGAAGATGCCCATCTTTGCTTAATAAAATCATACTAGAAAACCACAGTGACATGCCAAAGTGTGTTAGTGTGACCTCAAGAGGTCTCTGCAGGGGTTCCGATGTGATGTCAATGTCATTTCAGTATTTTGTAAATGCAATTGGGAAAACATCAAGGGCAACAAATCAGAAGTCTAACATTCATTTTAAACTGCAAAATTTAAAAGAAACTTTGGGAGACTGTGTTGCACAGGTGGCTGATTTGACGCAGGAAGGCTTGAATGGCGGTGGCCCATCTGCTGGAGCGTGCTAAGAGCTGAACACTTGTAAGGGATGTCATGGACACACGATGATACTATTGAACACTTTATTAACAGAGAGACCTTAAATGATTAAACAAAGTGCTATTTCTTTTCATACAGCTCCTGATGCTGCAATCCTTTTCAGACATCAAGCCACACACCTTTTTATTTATTTTTTATTTTTTTACAGGTGTTTCATTTCTCTGCTCTTCACGGCCTTGATGGCTCGTTCTGATGAACAGCGCCCGATTCATCAGTGAATAACCTGTTCATAAGGTCCTTTTTCAATAGAGCTGCAGCCTTTTGTTTATGTAACAGGCTTCACACTGAATTGAACGTGTTACCTGGATCATGGTGTGCGTCATTAGGCATTCAGCTTATTGTTATCATGAGTTCCTGGAACATCCTTTTTTTGCAAACACTGTTTAAAATCAAATCGATGAATGCAGTCTCAGTCACGTGAAGTGGCAGTGGTGTTGGGTAGTTTTGATGTCGAGTACGCAGAGAGCTGCTCTGCACAGACGGTGCCATGGTGCACTGCATTCTGTAGCACTTGGTGACCATGGCAACAAAACAACATCAGAAGAAGCTGGTCAGATGAGCTGGTGATGCCAGAAGACTAGATGAATGGTCGACTCCCAGCATTGCAGAGCTCAGCATAAAGGAGGAACTGATTCATGCACATCACCATGTCCCTCCTCTCCACGGACTCTGAACAAACACATTTCTCAATCTTCTGTTCATGTGTGATGTAATGTCCTTGAAAATTAAACGTGTAAATGTGTTCTTTGTGTTCACAGCTCAGCAAGAACAACATTTAGCTCATAAATGTGGCATAACAGGCTTTACAATTTGGCTCAAAGCTCATCAGCACCATCTGCCCCCTGTCACCAAGTCATTCTGTTTGAAGAGGCTCGACTGTGGCTAAATCCACGGCTCCCTCCAGCCTGCTCCCACTGCTTGACATCACTTTGAACAATTCATATTAACATTATTCATCAAAATGCACCAAACCCCTTTTTTCGTAGTTAGGTAATGGAGCGCCATTACACCACACTCACCATTTTTCTCTTTCAGCTGTATCATAAATCAGTAGTGTTATTGTTCCCAGTGCCCTCAAAACTGAATTGAGAAGATGCTTGAGCATTTTCTGTTGTTATTTCATAAATATCCTCCTACACACAAATACGCTCACACAGACAAACACACACAGTTACATACTTCTCCTTGGACACAGACAAAGTGTGCTAGTAGGACCAATAAGGAACTGTTACAAGGCAACAGCAGACATTATCTGTAAAAATGAGCCACTTCAGGGTTAGGGTCAGACACTTTTCATCCCAGTCAGTCAGTACGCCTCAGCAAGTATATCAGTGTCTGGTTTTTAAAAGTTAAAAAGGATTGGGTCAAGGCACTTCTAATCAATCTATCAATAAATTGATACCTATACAGACACTTGTGTTTTAAAAAAATTAAGCCAGTTCATCACACTTTCATGGAAATCTAAAATTATGATGGCCGGATTTTGAGGAGACAATATAACAATGAGACAAGGTGACAGCTGTATGACCCTGTGTGTCCCTTTAAGACCTAAAGTCTATTGTGAAAACAAGCAAGTCAGATTGATTTAATATCCGGTCCCACATGCTCTACTCAACCATCCAATAGCCAATACGTTTAAGTTGTGCTACCAGTTTTCAGTAAATATTTCTTATTGCACTACAACTTAAAGCTCCAGTGAGGAACTTTTGGGTTATGTTGCTTTTGACGACCCCTGTGGACAAATCGTATCACTCTGCTGATCTTTTACTGTACATGTGCAAGTATTGTTTTCTAATTGGAAATGTTATCCTTCTTTTTTCTTCTTAAAGTCTTAACTTACAACGATGAATTTTTGCTTTAAAAAATAAATGAAAAAGGCTGTGTCTGCAGCGTGCGGTGAAACTTTTCGTCTGGTTACAGACATAACAACCAACTAGAAATAATCAATCTTGTTGCTGGTGGTCTTTGTTTTTTTTGTTTTTTTTCAAAGATTTAATTTTGGGCTTTTTGTGCCTTTTAATGTAGAGATAGGACAGTGGATAGAGCTGGAAATCAGGGAGAGAGAGTGGGGAATGACATGCTGGAAAGGAGCCAAAGGCTGGAAGACGCGCCCGCACTAACCACTGTGCCACCAGCGCCCCAGTCTTGTTTATTTTTAAGGTCATATTAACTCATCACTATTAATATTGTTCTGTTTTCTAACCAGTTAAAAACTGCCAACAGGAGCTTTAACTTTGATGGAAACACAATCATCTACCGTATCCTCTTCAAACATTGTGACTATTGCTCCTGTGCTCAAATAGCTCCACAATATAGTGTTGTATTGCAACTTGCAGTAAGGAGTTTCGTAAAAAATACATAGTATCACTGACAAAGAGAACTAATCATGTAAGTTTTTATTTTATTTTACATGTTCCTATTTGGAGGTTATGGCATGTATTACTTTAAAGCAAATTCATCTGAATTGGAAGTGTTTTACCTTCACCTACTTTTGATGCTGCTAGAAATTTAATTAATTTCTGATTTGAAATCTTTATCAAATACAACAGCTCTGCAACAGCTCTGCCTTCGTCATTTTCTACGCTAGGGTCTTCAGTTTGATCTGCAGCAGCCTTAATTAATTAAGAACACTTCATTCAGATCTTTCAAAAGGAGAAGATAAAGAAATCCTGATTCAGCAATAGTCAAATGCCTCCTATCTTTTTCTTCTCATCGTGCAGGAGAACAGCATTTTATCCTACTTTAAAATGAGGGAGAAGAAGCGGGCTTACTGTTGAGTGTTTGGTGCACTGTGGTTCTGCGAGTTAATTATCTGAGAACAGGTGTTGGGATCTATGATGCATTTTGCCGTATAAAGATTGCATTAAACGGTCTCACCTCAGGCTCACGCTTATGAAGAAACTTGTCTCTGTGTGGGCAGTAACGTTTGTCTTTGTGAGGCAACAGAGGCCGCTAAAAGTGCTAAGTCATGCCTAAGAGGGTCATTCAAGATGCTAAGAAGATAAGTTTTGTTAATAACATCAAATGTGACCACAATTTGGATTATGTAATTGAATAAAGCTTCCAAAAACACTCACATAAGAGGCGACAAAAAGCAAAGAATAAGACGTGTTTGTTCTTGTGTGCGTTATTTGTTGCTTCTTTTGTGTTTGATCGAGCATCATGGCACAGTCTTGAGGCATATATTAGAAAATAAATGATTCTTTAGCCAGTGCAGGCAGTGCATTGTGAATCAATGTGAGAGCCAGTAAAACAGTAATGTTTAATCTGGGTATTGTAATTGTTTGATTCATGCAGAGGGTATGATTTAGCTCATAATCATCTACCAAACCGTCATCATACTGCAGACACATGGTTTACTGATAGCGCTCCTCTTTAACACAGAGGGGCCAGCTCTTGCATTTAGCATGGATATCTGATTAATGCAATATGTCATTGTTTAGACTGTAGAGCCGCAGCCTGATGTGCTATCTGTTTAAGCAGTTTGCAAAATTACCTGATCCTTTTCAGTCACACCAGGGGGAAATGTTCTTTACTTGTGCTAAATTAAAGTAACAATTCAGACTGAAGTAAAAATCTTTGTCTTGGATAAATCTAAAAGAAAAAAGCTGAATTTAAATCACTTCAAAAATTGGCCTAATTTATGTTGACAAAATGCACTATGGGTAATATCATATATATCATATCCAGGATCCAAGCAAGATGTAACATCTTGTCTTTCATTACATAATTCTTATCTTGAGATATATATATATATATATATATATGTGCTTCTGTTTACCTGTTCGCTATACTATTTCTCTATGTTCTTATTTGCCAAGTCTAATTCCTTTTAGGTGTAAAACCTACCTAGCTCAAAGCCCTGACACTGATTCTCAAATGTTCTATTCTAAAATTAAAGACTACAGTGATACTTCACTTATGTGAAAAATTTAAAAGTTTGTTGTTTTGAAAAGTATTTCACGGATCATCTGTTTGGTTTCGTATCACTTCAGGAACTCCATCAAAACTTTCCATAAATGGCTACAATAACTTCAGTTTCCACTTCTAAGCACTTCCACTAAAATAAATAGCATGAACTGCAGTGCGGCTCTGTACACATCAGGCCTGGATGAGTATACTGTAGATAACATGAGGGGCCGGTGAGAGATCTTATTTTAACTGGTACGAGTACCTCTTACAGACACACGTATTACTGTTTATGTACTTCAGTGCAGAGGTGGATAAAGCTGTACCAAATGTATTCCTATCAGTATTTTATAGAAAGGATCAATCTTGTTTGGCTTGTGTAATTCTTCTAGTGGAGGATTATTCAACGTGTTCTGGGGTGACTTGCCCGTTATGGGAACTAAGCTTAGGTTGCATGTAAAAAAGTTTAGCACTGTGTTGTTGTAAAATAGATTCAGACCAATAAGAAGGTGTAAAGATGCCAATTTCGGATCATTTGTCGTGTTCCATAAAAACATCTCATTCTAATATAGCCATGTTAGTCCATTATTAACCTCTGAAACATTTTAAGAGATAAAGAGTATGACCAGTAGTTGCAAAGACCAGTTTGATGTTACAGTACAGTGACATGTTGACTTATCACGCAAACAAAAGAGGCCATGTGATCCATCTATGTGATGGTGGAGAATCAAGAAATAAACCCTCCGCACTGTTGCACTGCTACTTTCATTCTCTGTTAAATGTAGGACTGCTTCCAAGTGAATCAAAAAATGTCATGAATATTTTTTCTCCCTGCTGCGTGCGGATCAAAGACAGAAAAGCTCCATTTAATCAGTTTCGATAAAGAGGCTTAAACGAGGAACATCAGTGGAAACAGAATCTTTTCAGTTATAATAAACAAGTCATTTACATAAGGTTACACTTCATACATCCGCTTCACGGCTGAGCCTGGATCATAGAGTAATGAGTCCCCTTGTGGACAGTAGCATACTGGATACAAAGCTTATTGTCTTGAACATTAAGTATTTATCTTTATTCATTATATAATCAAACATTAGACCTCCTGCAGGAGATGGTCTGCTTTGTTGCTTTCAAGTAATGAACAATCACGAAGGATGTTATTTGTTCTCCTTGCAAGAGCATTCTTAAAAGTCCATGTTAACATTGACATGACCGCTCTTTGATGTGCTATGACAGATATAACTGGATTCTAAAGCAGTCAGAGATCTGTGCCTCTGATAGGGTCTTGACTAAGGCTCCAGACAGCACCTCAGTCAGATTTTCTCTACTCCCACTCTCCTGTGCTGGCTCCCATTTCTAACTGAAAGGCCTGCCAACAACCGGCTCTGTCTTCCATACAAGCAACCCAATTCACCAGCTGCTAGTAGTGAACATGTATAGTATTCTGCCGTGCGGCTGCAGCGATTCGGGTCATTTGACATAATTACGGGATTACCACTGCAGAACGTATGAACAAAAGGGTCCGATAGGTACTATTTTGACAACGTCAGACAGTAACCTCTCATTTAAAATCTCCAACAAAGATTCTTATTGCTCAGTCTTCAAAAAAAGGAAATTATCCAGTCAGCCAAACAAACCTATATTTATTTATTTATAGAGGCTGTGAAATTGGCATAGAAACCTGTTAACTTACTTAACTTCTTTGTGTTCAACATTAGAAATGGTATGTTGGTGCAGAGATTTATCTTGCCGATATTTGGTTGAACAGATACTCAGCAGCAGGAAGCTCTGTTGCTCTGTTACTCTGGTCTGCAACAGAGTGACCACTGAGTTTGACTGAGACTGTAATCATTTATTAATTTATACTGCTAAGAAAAAAACGCTTGATGATTAACATCTTTTGAACCATAATCAGTAAACAGTAGAGTCTTGTGTCAGTAGTCAAGTCAAGTGTTTGTAGTCACACATGAATGAGAAGCTCTGCTCTCAGGCTGTTTTGGATTTACACATGATTAGTGGATACATGTGCAGATGTCCCTGTTGGTCAGGTATTTAGTATTTGGTTATTTCATTTCAAAAAGATTTGAAATCACCATGTCTTCAATAGATTATAGCTGAAATGTCATATACTAAAAATACTTTTTTTTTCCTCCTTCCAATTATAGGACTTTTCTTTAGAGAAAACATCTAACTGGATTATAATGATAGCTTTGTGAGCATGCATGCATATTTCATTGTTTTAGTATAATTCCCTTTTAAATAATTTATCTCCCATATGTACTTCATTAAAATAAGCTTCCTGCCATAACGTTCAGGTAAAGATGTAGCTTACTGAGGTCCATTAAGTCTGCATATCATTATAATGTTGTGCGTAGTTACAACTCCATCTTTAAGTGGCTTTTTTCTAGAGAGTTGGCGAGCTAATTGCTTCATCAACTTTTAAGAATTTTGTCAAAAAATGTGAAAAGAGAAGACAAATGTGGGCTAGCTCAAGCACAGGGTAAAGTTTATAAGAGTATTTTTTTAACAGTAGAAAACAGACCAATGAATAATTATACATCTGCTGCTGCTGCACAGACCTGACCTACTGCACAGCGATGGAACCACGGCTGGTAGTTTGACAGAGTTCACTGAAGATGATGTTATTGGAAAATCAAATTTTGTGTTGTTTTGCTCCTGGGAAAATGTGAAATAATTGGCGTCCACTGCCTTGATTACACTGGCCTACTGTGATTTATGATTCAAAAGGTTTCAGAGAGATGAAACACTTATAAATTATAACGGCTCCCTATACTGTAAATGTGCACATTGATTTTTTTTAAGTCCATTTCCTGTAAAGATCCACCACTGAGCAATTATTTTTCTTATTCCAATTATTTTCTGTAATGAAACACTTTATAGGCACAATCAATTTACAAGAATGTTCTTTTATGATCTTCAGTAATGAGACAGCAGCACCAGGCTCTTCATCTGTGTTCAGCCCCCTTTACTCCATGTAAACTAGCTGTACTATTCAGGAGGCTCTAATATGTTGCATATGTCTTGACAGGTTGTGTTGTGGCAGGACTTTCCCTGGCTAAAGGGCACGAGCTGCCATGCCATTTGGCTGCCTGACACTCGGGGAGAAGAAGGATTACAACAATCCCTCAGAGGTCACAGACAAATATGACCTCGGACAGATCGTTAAATCGTGAGTACATCCACGGCATAATGTTAAGAAGCGCACAAAGACGTAAGAGAAATGTGCTGGAAAGATCATGTATGTCTCTCCTTTTGTCTTTGTAACAGGGAGGAGTTTTGCGAGATATTCAGGGCGAAGGATAGGAACACCTTGAAAATGTACACCTGTAAAAAGTTCCACAAAAAGGACGGCAGGAAAGTGAGGAAAGCTGCCAAGAATGAGATAATGATCCTTAAGATGTAAGTTCAGTTATGAGATTCTCCTTATAGAGACAAAATGTCCTCCTTCTTCAGTTTGAACCAAAGACACAGACAAATGTGTTTGAAGAAGGCTGCAAACGGATATTCTTAAGTCACTAGTCCCCAGGATAGAAAGCATCAATAAACCACTGAAGCACTGGATGACATGCACCGTAGTGTACAGGATTTTACTGCATACATCTTTCTGCTGTAGTGCTCATTATATCATAACAAATACCCAGCAGAAAATAGCCTCAAACACTGTTTGCTTAAAACAACAGTGCAAATTGTGTCCTGAGAAATGTTATTACCTTATTGTATTTACTTGTTGTACCTACACTTGTGTTTCAACGTGTTAGAATGTTAGAAACAATGCGTCACAGACTGTGAACGTCAGAAAGTAACAGATGAATACATCTCCATCACAAAACGTTGGATTAAATGGATGATGACAAGATACAGAATCCATCAACCATTATCTATATAAAAACACATTGTTAGGTGTTATGTATTGCAGAATAAGAGCATAAGGTCTCATTATGTTTTTAGAATTCATTGTTGCTGTAATTTGGTCCCATTTTGCTTAATATCGACACGTAACAAAAAGAACAGATCCACAAGATAATGAAAGGATATCACTCGACTAATCAATTTGCTTAATTCAGTTAACTGTTCATTAATTCAGAGCAGTGATCATGATAGAGTATCAAAAAGCCATAATTACATTAAAAAAGTGTTTCCCTCACATAGGTGGATTGTTGTGCTGTCATACTATAAGTTTGCAAAGCTATGAAATACAGTTTCTGATGGCTACTCAGATATCATGTTCACCTTAATCATGCCCATCATTTGGCATGTAGCTGTGTTGCTTGCAGTACTCATTGACTCTGTTGCTTATTTTAACCCCACTCACATCAAACCACCCTGCCCCCCTCCCGCCCCCACCCTTACTCTGTCTTCCTCCTTTTCTTGCTTCTCAAAGGCTAAAACATCACAACATTCTCCAGCTGGTCGACGATTTTGAAACCAAGAAGGAGTACTTCCTTTTTCTGGAGCTGTGAGTATTATTGGCAGCGCTTGAGAGACATCTTGGTGCAGGCTGGAGTAAACAGTACTGCCTCATCTTGCAAAAGACTGTTTTTCAATATCTTTTTTGCATTCTTGTCATCAACAACTGACTTGAATTACATGTTTTGTTGTCCCTTCTTTTCAGTGCCACGGGCAGAGAGGTGTTTGACTGGATCTTAGATCAAGGATATTACTCTGAGAGGGACACCAGCAATGTGATGAGGCAGGTGTTGGAGGCCGTGGCTTACCTGCATTCTCTGAAAATTGTCCACAGAAATCTTAAGGTATATAACACTGCTGACACCTAGTGAAAAAGAACAGCATTTCACCGCAGGCTAATTAAACTGATCTTCAGGAATGCTTCTCATTTTAAACCTCTCTTTGTTTACTCCCACAGCTGGAGAACTTGGTGTACTTTAATCGTTTGAAGCACTCAAAAATCGTCATCAGTGACTTCCAGCTAGCAAAACTGGAGAATGGACTCATTAAGGATCCATGTGGGACTCCAGAATATCTGGGTAAATAACATAAAGCCAGTCTGTAGAAAATGTAAAGATTAAACTCTATTAATTGCCAGAAAGTCGAAACAAACTTTGTAAAGCTGAAGCTTCAAACTTCTTCCTGCTTTCAGCTCCGGAGGTGGTCGGGAGGCAGAGATATGGACGACCAGTGGACTGTTGGGCCATAGGTGTCATCATGTACATACTGTAAGTATCCAGCAATGTCTTCACAGATATACATCAGGTGTTTTTTAGATATATTCAAATGATTTGGTCCAAAAGGTTTGATATCCTTATATTATTGTTCTTCCAACTCAACAGATTGTCTGGAAACCCTCCTTTCTATGATGACTCTGATGAAGAAGACCCGGACAATCGTGACAAGAACCTTTTCCTAAAGATTTTGTCTGGAGACTATGAGTTTGATTCACCATATTGGGATGACATTTCAGATTCAGGTAGAAATTAAAAGCTTATAAAAATGTGGCATGTTGTCTGAAGGCATACATTTTGGAGAAACTGGTTAACGTTATTTTTGTTGCTTGACAGCCAAAAACTTAGTGGCATCTTTGATGGAGGTGGACCAAGATCAGCGACTGACCGCTCAGGAAGCCATTGCACATGAATGGTAAAAAAAATATTAAGTAAATTACAAAATTTGAAGTCACATAAACAGAAGTAATGTGAAGTTTGATATCAAATATATAACAGAATGCTTGTTCCTTACTCAGGATTTCTGGAAATGCAGCCTCCGACAAGAACATCAAGGATGGTGTTTGTGCACAAATAGAAAAGAACTTTGCAAAAGCAAAGTGGAAGGTAAAGCTTCTCACTTTATCTCACATATCAGTCAAAACCTTTTGCTCATATATCATTAATCACGTACCTGTTAGACAAAGGGGTCTATCTTAAATGATATTGGATGTCATGCTCTACATTCAAGGTATTTTTTCTGAAATACACAAACATTTTTAACGGATAGTGTATTCCCTGTTAAAAACAACATTGGCAATTGTAGACAAGCTGTTGGAATGTCAGTCATCCCTGTGTTGCCTCGTCATTCTTTCCTTTTCCTCTCTAATTTGTCCTCTCTAATTTGTCAAAATCATGCAGATATTGTCTCCAATTAGTCTTCACGGCTATTTAATTTGTTTCCAAAGTTTCTTCAATCCCATTTTTATGTCAAAAGTAATATTTTTGAGATGAACATCTTTTTCTTCCACAAAAACAACAGCGTGTTGTCATGGGAGGATGATTTCAAATTGGCCTAAAAAATATAATAATCGAAAAAGTTCAAGTATAGCTTGATATTTTCATTGAAGTACCATGCACTAGAATAGATTAATTGAAGTGTAGGCTCACTGTGTGTTTTTATCATTTACAGAAAGCTGTCAGAGTGACCACCCTCATGAAGAGACTTCGGGCCTCCGAGCAGGGAGATCCTGCTGCTGCAGGGGCTGCAGCTGACCCCAACACACCCGGCGACGCTGCTGGTCCGCCACCTGGCAGTAGTGGGAGCTTTGCTGCCAGTATTAAGGCTGCTCTTAGTGAAAAGGCTCCAGACACACAGACTGCAACCAACCCTACACTCTCCCTCCCCACTGCAGCCAGACAGGCGGAGCAGCCACAGGCGCGCTGCAATGGAGATGTTCCCCAAATGTTGCCGCAAAGCAAGGGAGACTAGGCACGAGAAGAGACCCTCGTCCCACAACACATGTGCAGTAGAGCCAATACATTTGGCAAGAGAAAACCATGTCAATGCTGTTTAACTAACCCCCCCCCCCCCGTTTGCTGAGTTCCTCACAGCATCATGCTTTTACCATCCTCTTAGTCTTGATTGGTCTTTTGAATAGTGTTCTCCACTCTCCCTTGTTATTTTATGTAGAGGTCCCTTTAAAGCTAGTTGCTAAGTAGCTCTTTTGTTGTTTCTTTTCCCTGAAAAGTGTAAAAATTCATGGTGTAAATTAGTGAAATCAACCCATCTGTATTCATCTGCTCTTTGTATTGAGGTGTGGGTGTCTGTTTGAGCCAATTGCTATTTTTTTGGCTTCAGAACTTACTAATCTAAGTTCATATTGTTACTTAAAATTATGAGTTAAAAGCATTGGTAAATTGATAACAGTGAGATTTATAAGAAATATGTCAATTTATTACACTACTTATTTAGTTATTTCTTAAAAAAACACATACATCTAATTGGAATACATCATGCTGATTTCTTTGTCAAATTTACTTATTAGGTAAAAATGAGCTAAACATGATCAAAAAATGTATTCTTCTTAATTAGATATGTGCAGTACAACTTCAGTCAGCTTAGATTTTTATGGCAGCAAGAAAGCATACTTTTAAGTTTAAGTGCCTTAATATTTGTTGCAGTTTTGTGCTAAAATGTTTCAAAAGAAACAGCTTCATTATAATTGCTTACTGATTTCTTTGAAATGTTTTAGCGGTTTTCTCTCCTATATTTAGTTCAACGCTGCTGTATTGATACTCGTGTTCTGTCCTATTTCACACTTAAACTGAAATACAAAAAACGACATTTAGAGCATTGTATCTGGAGTGATGTTTTAGCTGTTGTTATTGTGTTATCACTCGTAATTTGTAAATTTCAGTGGTTAAAGCTGATTCCATAACATGTACCACTATGTATATTTGCATTGTATACATGTGTATTTTTTTATTTGTGTACTTAGCAACATTTAGCTGAGCTAACAGGTTGCTATGCTTGTGAATGAATAAAACTAGCAATACTCTTATTGCTGAAACTGACATTTTCTCAAGTTGTCATTTAATGAAAGACAGATATAGATATAGATAGATATTAGATATAGGAAGAGGAGCCACACCACCAACTTCCATCTCATTTTTAGCCATCTCTTAGTAAAATATATTCAAGCAATGTTATTCATCATCGAATAAATATAATTTAATATATTTAAGTATATTTGGGATCCTTATTTTCTTTCAATTTGAAAATCTTTTTTAATATAAATTGGTTCGGACCAAGTTTGTGTGACATTTGACTGATCATAGCAAAACAAAATTGATATTTGATGTGAGATAATATTTAGAGTGAGTGGATGTATTCCCCCCCCATCAAATCAAATGTCTGAGGAAAAGTTAATCTTAGCTGTTTCTTCAATGGATTGTGACAGATGAACTGTTTCTTATCTTTTTATTCCCTGACCAGAATATAACCTTTATTTCACTAAAAACTGTTTTGCAACCAACCTTACAGGTTTTATGTTGTTTTTTCCAAAATGTTGGAAAAACAACATTTTTCCAAATGTTGGTTAGATGGATGTCAAACTTTTGCTTTTTTTTCACCTGAGATTTCTTAAGCATACACTGGTTTATATAACGCTAGATTATATTTATGGTTTAGGAAATACACTATTGACGGTCATGATAGGCTAAAGCAGGGGTGGGCAACTGGCGGCCCCCATCAACCCTCAACGTGGCCCTCAGGTCAATTTTTACATATCAAAAAATTGGAAACATGAAGAAAACATGACAAAATCTGCCATTAAATCATGAAAACCTAGAAATATGTCCATAATAATATTTGATCACTGGTATATGTTGAGTTAAATTAGAGACATAATTGACTGTAATCGTTTTTGTATGCTACAATTTGGCCCTCTGGCAGTGAGAATTAAATGAACGTGGCCCTTGCTGTGAACGAAGTTGCCCATCGCTGGGCTGAAGTAATCCTTTCTAGTCCGTAACACAAAATACAATGTTGCATTTTACAACCACTAGGTGGCACTAATTAGGTTCATGTGGTATTCAGAAAAAAAACTGCGAAGAAGAAGTAGCCTGGTCTCTGCTGCAGCAACAGAAGAAGAACGATCATCTTTCTCATCATTTGAGGTGCTTTAAGCCTTCGACGGCCTCTGCGTCAAATCTCTGCGATATCGACTTCGAGGAACAGGTAAGCAAAGGGGGTCCAAGCGACATAATACCTACGCCTTATTGGTAAAATATGTGATCTCCTAATATATCTGTAAGACAAATGCGGTCGCGCATCTGCGGGCCAACAAAAAAACCCGGCTTTTACGTTTATGTTAGCACAGTGAGCTAGCTCTCATGGCGTCATCGTCTGAATGGTTCTGCGTTGAGCTCACTTTGGTTATAAGTGTCTTAAGCTGCGTATACCTCAAGTTATCAATCAAACGCTCTTTTGAGATGTTGGTGTATTGCACTTCAGTCGTCTCAAATGAAAACGCTGCTTGAAATTGGTGTGGCGTAGATGTTAAAAGGGCCTAGTGATGGCTATAATTAGCGGGCGAGTTTACTGCGGGTTAGCATTACCAATCACACCACCCAGTGATACTCGCCCTGGGGATTGACGCAAGCCTTGAAGTATAGTCTGCATGAACCCGGTTTAACACACATTTACAAGTCCTTTATGTGGGAATAAGATTAAAGTGATTTATAATCAATTTGACTTTGGCTTGTATTGTCAAAGTCCGTGTCTAATCTGTGTTATCGTGATGAATTGCAAAGTCAAAAGTGGTGATAAATTCATGCTGCCTCATGAAATTAAGCAAACCTCGTGTCTTTATTTCCAGATAAATTACTAATTTAACAATCATGTGGGATGGACCAGGGCCAAGGCAAGGACCACGGGGAGGGCCTCCCTTCCGGTAAACATGCATCATTCATCTATAGGCTTTGATTTAAGACAAACTCCAATGCAGTAGAAATGTTATTTGAATAAACACACTTCAGTATCAGCCTGTAATTTAGCTTGCTAGGGGCAGGTAATATGGTTAAATAGAGATGTCATACCTAGGGATGGGTGTGAGTACTTAGGTACTTGAGTACTTTATTGTTGTTCATGTTACATTTCAGTACGTGTCGTGCACCACACAATATTCAACATACACCGAAGTGCACAGCGAGAAGGATTATGGAAACCACAACTGCTTTATGGAAGTTACCGTAACTCTCTAGGGACATATTTCTCCATTACTCGATGTAGAACCTTTTTTTTTTTTTTTAAGGTAAAATGTGAAATGTACAAATAAAAATATATAGTTATATTAATAAGGAAATGCAATTACTCAGGTATAATACCCATCCCTTGTCATACCGTATCTTTTTATAACTCAATCTTGATTTGTGTGGTGACACTATATAATTTCTCAATTTTTTGTTCTTGGAAGTTTGTCCATATTACAGTTAACTTAAGTGGTAGTACAATATATAAAAGTAGTTCTATTAGCCAATATTGCCATGTATTTCCAAAACTTTTACAGCTATTACGGTGCTTTTTCTCCCATTGTGTTATTAAATCTTTGCTCTGTCAATGTGCATTTTCAGCAGATTTGTGTGCTAATATATTAGCATTTTTACAGTGGTGATCATCGTGGAGAAATGTTTGGCAACAGAGATCGTCCTATGCCTGAGTACCGTGGTAGAGATGGTATGAACATGGGGCCTATGGGTAATATGGGCCCGAGACATCTAGATCTACCACCTATGGACATGAGAAGGACAGATGGGCCACCAATGAGAGGGCGCGATATGGATCCTCGCGATATGCGAGGTAGAGAGTCAAACAGAGACTTTTTCAGACCCGGAGAAGAGCCAGACTTCAGTCTTCAAAGGAATTATGACTGTTCCAACAGAGACAAAATTATGAATTCGTCTGGTTTCCCTGGGCCAGGAAGGAACTCGGCAGACATGGGAGGGAGGGGTATGCCACCTCGGGAACTAAACAACAGATTTATGGACATGAGAGACAGAGATTCCTTTCATTATGACACGCCACAGTTCAATAATCCCAACATGGATGGAAGAAGAGGGTTTCCCCAGGATCGAATGGAGCGAAATGATGGCTTTAGGGACATGCATGACAGGCCCCCAATGGGCATTAGTGATGATGATCGCTATGATATGGACTTACCTCCACGTGAAAGGAGAATGATGGACACTGATAGAAGAGGAGGGCCACCTTTCAATCCAAGAGGTGGATTTGATTCTGATATGGATTTCAGAAATCGGCATGGGCCATCATCTGAATTCAGAGGTAGAGATCGTTCTCCCATAAGATATGGAAACAATGATGTCCCTCCGGAGGGCAGGGGAAGATCAGACATGCCCTCAGATGTTGCAGGCCATAAAAGATCAGAGTTTATGGGAACAGAAGACAAGTTGGGAGAGAGAGAATATCCAGATTCAAGTGGCAGTCCCCTGATGGATTATCGATGTGGTGAAGAAATGACTCTTGCAGAGGAATGGAAGAACCGTAGGAAGGACAAGAACCCTTTCTTGAACATGGGTAAAGGTATTGGAGGTCTACCTGAGCCCAGCTTCCCTGTAGGTTTTGGAAGAGACTTGAATGTGAGAGATCCACTGCCATTTCAGGAAAGAGATGGACCCCCTGTTGAGTTCCAAGGAAAAGATGTTGGATTTCCTCGTGGAGACCGCTTTGCAGTTATGGATCTGCCAACAATTGGCAGCAAACCTCCACAAGACCATCCACATTCTGATATGAGTCCCCTTTTGGGCCCGCTTGGGAGAGAAAATCAGAGAAAACCATGGCTTGGAGAAAGAGATCCGAAGCATAGCCAGAATAAAGCCAATCGTGATGAAAGGCCCCCTTACCATAAAGAGAAGAATCAGCCCCTACATAACATCCAGGTGCCAAGTGATTGTTTTAAAGGACTCAAAGATATCCCACTTAGTCAAGAACCTGCCAGAGGAAAAATTGTACCAGAATGTGATGTCCAAGGCAGCAGCACTGTACAGGCAAGAGACCAAGACTACAGGGACATAGATTACAGAACAGGGTCTGGAAGGGCTTTTGAATACAATCCTGAAGAGCTTCAAACGACAGAGAAACTCCTCAAAAAACCTGATCCCGTCACTCTTTCAAAAGTTAGTGAATCTGGTTCTCAGGTAGGTGAATTTCTATCTTGACGCTGGTGTTTCTTTTATATTGGACATTCGTTTGTGGTTTTGTTGTGATGTTTCATAACCAGAGTTTTGATGAAAATGTATTTGAAAGGATCAAGACTACAGGAGTGCATCATTGGAGGAAAAGGTGTCCAATACAATATCCATAATTGGTATTCCAAAGACTGCAACAATGGAGCAGGTAATCAAAATAGCTTTGTTTAGATTATTATGCTTAAAAAACTGATGTTTTGATGGACAGCCATTGAATAACTCACTGATTTTGCTTTAATTTTTTGCAGATTCTTGGTGCCTTTGCTGTCCGTGATGGTGTACCAATACAGGGGATGAAGATAAAAAATGTGGTGCCAGGTAGGAATGAACTGTCTTTGTGAGCAAAACTTTGGGGCAGTCGATCGCTTATATGTCCCTCGACATTTCGCTTTTACGACATTCGAAACTTTCGCATTCTTTCTTTTAACATTCTTGGTTGCCTTTGTTGTTGGTGGTGTGTGTGATCACTCAGTAAAGAAGGGGAAGGGGGGGTCTGTTATGCCATACTTTTATCGTGTTTGAGGATCATTGTCAAGATTTTGGGGATTTACCAAGGATTCAGCTTTAAGAGCTTTGAAGGGTGATTTTCAATGCCAATGACAAAAAGTTATCTGAAAAGTGTGTCACTGAATGTGTCCTGAGTCACCGATTGTCAACATGGCTAAAATGGAGTGTTCTTCCTGCTGATCTAAAAATCTTAGAAGACGTTTTCCAAATGTACTTGCTGTAGATGTAGATACCACGCCTTTTTGTGGAGGTTTATTTTTTTATTTATTTTTTTACAAATGGCATTAAATTTGCTTTGAAATACACTTAAATGTCCCTGACAGAAAATGAATATGTGCTGCTTTTTGAGCATTCGAGTAAGTGCAACTAGCCAATTTTTCAGTCTTCATGGTGCACAACATGCAGTCATTCACCGCAATTGGTCTGGAAATATTTGCCTGTCAAGGCTTGGCTTCATTAGAGTCTTTCCTGAAAATTGTCTGATTTGATATCAGTCATAGACAAGCATACACAAAATGTCTATTTTCCTGGAAGGTATGTGTTTCTTAAGGTGCAAAAATTCGCTCACACTGATTTCGATTTTATTCACGAACAAATGTGTTTCATGTGTTTAGTCCGTGACTGACCTTACTGGCATTGACTAACAAAAATCCATCTGTATTTCAAATGCTGTCCCCAGGTTACAGCTACGATACGGCCTATGTGGAGTTTTTAAACCTCGAGGATGCAGTCCACTTCATGGATTCCAACAAGGTGGCCCATTCTCGTCACTCTACGAAGGCCGTCACTCCCAGGATTATAAGGGGTTGCGAGGGCATTTAGTATATAGGGAGGGAGAAAAGCTGGGAAGGGGTTGCTTCTAGTTGTGTCAAACTTACTGAAGACGATTTGGTTTGTTGACATTTAGTTAATGCAATTTCTACCTCAATTAATCCTAATTTAGCAGTTTTTCATTTAGGAACTTTTAGAAAAAACCCTTACATCACTTAAGTAAATTACCTTAAATATTTAGGGAGAAAAACAGATGTTTGGGGATAAAGATACACCTTACAAAGAATTGTTTTATAACCTTAAGATTATGAGAATATTGACATTGAAGTCACTGCATGTTGCAACTATTCCATGTGTTGTGACCAAATCTTTTGCACAGATGGGGAATTGAAGGAAACATTAGTATTTCATCACTTATGTATTTTTTTCTTAGAAAAACATTCGTTTCCTCTTTGTTTCATGTGACCAGTGAGAAAGTTTGGTTTTTTTTATGCTCAACTGTGGATAGAACACTTTCCAGCTACACATGCCTTATTTAGCCCTGCGTAAATAAGTATGCTCTGGTCGGATCGGCAGAATAGGGTGTTATGTTTAAGATACACAGTGTAGATAGTGAATTTTAAGAAATATCAGAAACTGCGCCGTTCTGGAATTTATGAAAATTGTCATGGTGACAATTACTTAAGGGACATTGTAGATTGAGCTGGTTGTTATCACAGAATGAAACCCAGACAGATCGCGTCAGGGTTTCCTCCGCGCTAACAGCCCACTCGGTTTACATTATCCCATTTATTACACGGCTACTTACTAAGGAACAACACGTTGCTATGGTAATTATTTTATTGATTTAAAATTATTTGTTGGAATCAAGGCTCTGTAGCCTTCATTAAGATAGTTAACATAGCTGCTGTTACTCACTGGAAACTAGAAATTTCCACTGATGATAAATTGAGACCTTATGAGTGAAACAGGATGAATATATTGCAGTGAATCAGAGCTGCATAGTTGTGTTATGCTCTCCTTTCTTTCAAACTGACCAACATCGAGTTAAGCAGTCTTCTTTCGGCGGATTGATATTGTGACAGTTGGTCGTCCAGAGTCTGTGATAAGTCTCTTGTAACTGCCTGATATCTAAGTAACAGTTAATGATATTTAATAATGGTGATCTGACAGGATATACTTGACTGTTGCTATGCAAAATTGGCCAATTGGAATTAAGTATTTAACAGCTGTGTAATAATTGTTTGTCTACTCTAATGGAAAGCAACATTTAATTGACGGCAATTTAACATGGACTAGCACTTGCTTGGGGTTTTTGTATGTTGGTATGCCAAACGTTGAGTCATGTTGACCCTGGGTTGGGCTTGCTTAAAAAACCTGTTCTTCGTTGCCAAACTGACCCCAGTCAAATGAATGAGAAGAATGTTGTCTTTTTACAATGGGCTAAGTTTGTCTGAATGTCACCTAATTTAAAACTCTGTTCTTGTTTAACTCTTGACATTCCGTTTAAATTTTGTGAGCTTATTTGGTATGAAGAACTACAAGGGTAACCAGAGCACAGCCTCTGTCAAGGTCAATAGTCTTGTGACATTCAGAAGAGTTTGAATTACCATCATTTGGCCATTGGTATTTTGTTCAGTATTTCTGCTTCTTTGAGAGAAGGACCCTGATCTGCGTGAAAATGTAATGGGTTCTTCTTTGGCCGATGCTTTGTCCTTTCTGCAAGTTTCATGCAAATCAGTAGGTATGAAAGATATGTCCAGGAGGTGCATTGTCAAGCTCCAGATCTACATTGGTCTTTGGGTTCTTAAGAAACCCCTAGTGGCATAGCTCTCTTTATGATGATTGTGGTGTATCTGTTGGTTGATTCACCAATTTGATGCAGATTGAAACATCACTATTAAATTAAAAGCCTTAAATGTTTGTCCAGCTAATCATAGACCCCAGATGTTGAAACTTATAAGCCTAGTGATCCCCTCCTTTACAATCAGTAGGAGGTTCACAATTAGTATTTTACAAAAGTGTATTGTATTAGTCTATTCATTCATTCTTTTAAACAATGGAATTTATTCATATTCCTGTTCTGATGACGTTTGTTATCCCTTTTGATTTTCATGTATAGCCACCAGTTGGTCAGAGCCTTCACCCTCAAACAAGGTTTCTCTGATGTCTAGTTGATTTATCAGATTTTGGTACAGATATCCAGTGTTCTCAGAGGTTGAATACTGAAAACTTAAGTGATTTCCTGAATATTCTTTATCTTCATGATAAGGTGTAAGTGGTCACAGTGAAATGTCTCAACTATTGCTTTATGGTGCAGATATTTGTGGTCTTTGCACACCCTGCTGGTCCCACAACTTTTTATCTTGCGCCATCATTTCGGATTATCGAAGCTTATTTAAAAGTAAAAAATGTCTTCTTCTCAATGCTCATCCAGTAAACCGTCATAGTACTGCTATTGCAGGCTTTTTGTCTTTCGGTTTCCTTCACAGTCCGTCTTCGGCAAGTCTATTACCCTGGTACTTAAATCATCTTTGGCTTTCCTTTTCATCATATTCTCTTGAATACATCTTCAGTGCACTTAGACTTCTTCACTTTGAGTTGCTCTGAGCAATTTGTGAAACAGATCCGTCATCTTGACACAATGACCAGTCATCAATATTTGCAGGGGATGCACTCTAATATTGTCTGTAAAAATTGGGTTGCTGGATCAGTTTATGGATCGACCCTGCTACGTTGTTTCTAGAGCTTTTTGCTTGAATTTCCTTTGAACATGTGCAGCTTGTGATAGCTCCGAATGGGAAAAACTGGATAATGTGGAAAGTTGGACATTCACTTATTCACAATTTCTTATTAGATCGAAATGGCTCCTTCAAAGCTATCAAGACCTGTTAAGACACTTTTGATTTGTATTTTGTGGGATTACTCATTGAATGGTTTCAATGGTTATTAGGTTTTGTGTGTGTGTTTTTTATGAACAGAATTATGGCTGTTTAACACAAAGCTACTACATGGTAAAGTAGAGTCAGATGGTCCCTTTTTGAAGCAGCTCATTTCTGTTGCTGATGGAGTCTTGTCTTGAAAAAGAGGCCTCTACGATGGAATCATTTATACACCTTACCTACTGCGGCTGTGATTCTCATATAGCTCCAGTTTGTCATTCTCTTTAAGATTATACTGCGGACAAACATAAGCAATATTTTTGATATTCAACTGATTACCAGCTTTGAAGTTGTGACATTTGCAGTTTCTTTTTTTTTTTATTGTGCTTGATTTCTTTGGATATTCTGCAGGAAAAAGCGAACCACAGATATGACTCTTAACTGTACGAACAGTGGTGGATATTTTTCATTTTTTAAGTAACATTTACTGGACCACGTATCTCTTGATTTAATGAATAGAATAATTGTCAGATCTGTAGAAAATAAGTGGAATTGTAAGTTACTACACTTATTTGTAGTCCCCTTTACACTATTGAATATAATATTGGGGCAAATGACCCGTGTAAAGCATGACTTTGGTTTGGGCTTTGCACACCATGTCAAGTGTTTGCCCATTTTATCCTCACCAGTTAAGAGGAGGGCTTAACCTGCCACAGTGCATGTTGGGTGTCATTGGCATTATTTAAGAAATAAGTCACACATGTTGTATGATGCTGATCGATCAATTCTATTGTACTTCCAGGGATCTCTAAAGGTTGGCACTAGAACATCATCCATGAGGTACTTCCATCCAGATGAGCATGATAGAGGTGTTCATGTGAGTGTAATGAATACAATCTAAATAACCTCCTTTTCTACTATTGGTATTATTATATTTACCAATTGTACTCATTAAAGTGTCATTTCCTGTCTGTGTTTGAATTAGGAGTCTGATCACAAAGTACCTCAACTCCCGGAGCCCCCACTACCCAGACAAGATGAACCTTTAGATGAGATGGAGATCGGCCTGAATGGGTCTAAACCTAAAGGCCCCATGGAGCCTTTGTCAAACAGTCAATGGCAGCGTAGCTCTGATCTTACACCAGAGGCCTGGCAGCAGCAGGTGGACCAACAGCTCCAACAGCAAGAAACTGAGCAGCAGGCAGAGTCATGGGGCAATCGTAACCCTCCTCCTAACTCGCCACTTAAACCTAAATCCGTCTTTAAAGACAGCAAAAGTATGTTTGATTTAGCTTTGGGTCTCTTTTAAAGCGAACAGCTTTGAACTCCAGCACTCTATAGACATAGTTGTTCATGTTTTTCTTGTAACCGTCCAGGTTAAAATTTTTCCTTCTTGTCACTCTACAGCCATGATCCTAAAAAATGTGAAGCCCACCACCTCAGTAGAGACTATCCTGAAAGCCTTGGACCCCTTTGCTTATCTGGATGAAAGAAATGTTCGTTTAGTCAAAGCCAAGCAACCAGGAGCCAAGTGCTTCTGCTTTGTGGACATGGACTCCCATGAGGTACCTGTAGAAATCTGAATACTCTGTTTGCTGTTGATTATCTCACATTAGACCAGAGTTTGTGATTAATGGCTATTCCATTGTACCCCTATGACATCCCCCACACTTACGTTTGTGTCTTCCTTTGTAGCAAGTGACACGTCTAGTCGAGCTCCTCACCAAACCCAAACCCCTCTACATTGATGGAGTCAGAGTTTATGCTGAGGTTGCAAGACCCCTTAAGAACCAAAAGTAAGTCACTGACTTGTAAGGTGCTTCTCATTTGCTGTATATGTTACAAAACATATTTCCAGGTTTGAACACTTGAACCTGACAGTTTTCATTTCTGTTTCAGTTTCAAGAGAGACCTTGATAATCCAAACAGTTCCATCCTTGGATATCCACCTGAGGCCAGCATGATGGGGGTAAGATGACTTCTTTATTTTAATGTTATTCAAAGTTCGGAAAAAAAATGAGAACTCTCGGATGACATTGAATTTCCTTTTTCCTCTGACATTTCAGCAGCAGCAGTATCCCCCTCCTCCACAGTACTTGATGCCACCCTCTGGTGTCCCTCCTGGAATGCAAGGTGAGACTCGCTATGAAACATTTTGTGTTCTCAGACCAAAGACACAGTTTGTCATCACCAAGCATAAACAGAAAACTGAAGTTAAGAGACTTCTATCTTTGTCACCAGGTGATTTGATGGCTGGCAGCATTATTCCTGATATGACATCAGACCCCAGCATGGGACAGGTAGGTTACAACACAAAGAACAAGGCTGTAGACATCATGTCTAGGAACACAACAATGAATTTATCATCTTCTGAAACACTTCATAGGGACTGGGCTACGGTGAGACTAGAACTGTGGACCCGTCTTACCAGGCTGGTGTACCCCCTGTTGCCCCAGAATTATCTGGGGTGATTGTCCCTGTGGATGGGTCACACACCTACGTTTATGGTAAGAACAAAATTAAGCATTCAAATCCAGAAAATGACTTAAATCAGCATATACTAGCATTTTAGTAAACCAAGGGTCAGCACAAGCTCTAAAAACATGTTGTTAAAATCCCAATCAATTTTTTACAAGTGTTTGCAAAATAGAATGACATCAAGTTAAATGAAGATTTACTGCTGCTGAAAAAATATTAAGATTACTGTTTTTTTTAATTTGAACTCGCTTCGTATGATTCCCTCTGTCAAGTAGTTTAATGTTATATTAATATCACATTCTTCTCAATTTGTCCAGGCTCTGGGACTCCTGACATGACCAACTACTTGTACGATTCCACATCAGGCTTCTTTTACGACCCTGAGACGACACTGTACTATGACCCCGGCTCAAGGGTGAGAATACAAATCAATGAGTGCTCAAAAGTAGCCAGGTAGAAAATGTTGTAGTATTGTGTCTCCATATGCTATGCACATTCTGCAGTTAGTAACCCACTAGAGATAATAAATACTGCACAGCTGTTTTACCACACACAAAAAAATTATTATTTGAAAAACAGTAACTGCTGTAAGGACATACCGTACATAATAGTTTTGAGTTGTGGTTTTTATATCACAAACAAGACATCCACTACCGCAGCTGTGGCTCAGCTGGTAGAGTCGTCGCCTCTCAACCGGAAGGTCGAGGGTTCGATCCCCTGCTGGGCAACATGTCCAATGTGTCCTTGGGCAAGACACCTAACTCCCACTGCTTCGGTGACGGTGTATGAATGGGATTAGTTACTTCTGATGGATGATACTACATGGCGATCACTACCATCAGTGTGTGAATGGGTGGGTGTGACATGCAGTGTAAAAATAAGCTCAAGTCCATTTACCATTTACCTCCCACTCTATTCTGGAGGAACCTAAAAAGCTTTTCTGGCTCTGTCACTACTCTGAGCTGAAGATTAACAAATGATTTTCAGTCTTGAGTAGTGAAAGATGTTGACCCCGAAACCAATCAAAGAGCGACTGAGTGAAAAAAGATTGAGGTGTTTTGATTGTTTCTTAGTAAGAGAAAAAAGACTGGTTTAAAGTGGTTATCATTAGGGTTTTAATTTTCCCTTCTTCTCCCTTTCTTGTGTGTAGTACTTCTACAATGCTCAAACCCAAGAGTACTTGTACTGGGAGGCTGTTTCAAAGACATACATCCCAGTTCCAGCAGGGAACGCTGCAGAGGCTCAACCTCTTTCCATGACAGCTGAGGACCAGGCCATTCTCTCCAACCCAGCAGCAGATGCTCCTCTGGAAATGAAGAAATCGATGCTGCCTCCACCTGCAGTAGCACCTCCAGCATTAGTTCCTCCACCAGTTTCTGAACCTGTTCTGGTTGCTGCTGCTGTTGCCACTGCCACCTCTGCACCAGAGCCTGTCCCGACTTTCACATCAGCTCAAGAGAAGAAAGATGAGGAGGAACTTTGCAAAAAGGACAAAGACCTCAAAGAAGATAAGCCGAGAAGTCTTGCTGCTGTCAAGGTAGAGCTGAAGTTACAGAAAACAGTGCACAGAATGTGAAATATACATGATGTACAAAGGGGAGATAATTATGAAATGTGTTGCTGTTTGCAGATCATGAAAGATATGGAGCGCTGGGCAAAGATCCAGAATCGTCAAAAGGAAACTGTCCGTGCAGCATCACCACTACTGAAGGGTGGATTTGACGATGACAGGAGGCAATCAAAGTCTGCTGACGCTGGTTTTGCCGTCTTTGAAAGAAAGGTTGGCGAGTCCCATCTATTCTGGACTTCAAGCATAGAACAAATGTAGACATTTGTAATGAATGAGTATTTAATTTGACCCCTCTTCTTTGTCTATGTTGTTAGATCTCAGGTGGAGAGGATCTTTTCAAGAAGCCTCTTGCTCCTCCCAAGAAAGATGAAAAGTCAAAGGTAAAAACCCTCCCTGCCCAACCTTTATACATACTTAATTTGGTAACTCAGCTTCATTTCACAAATGGAACAAAAGTGGAAACCATTTTTTTGAGATTGCTCTCTTGGACATGATTTGGATGTTGAATGTTTTTGTTTTAACATTAATTCCCTTTGCTTGTCCAGCGTCCAATGGGCTCTCTGGGTCTGCTGGCATCTGACTATGCAGCTGGAAGTGATGAAGAGGTGGAAGAAGATAAGGAGGAGGCAGGAAGGAGCAGCCAGGGAGGCCAGTCTGAAGACAAAGACAGTAAGCTGACAGACTGGAAAAAGATGGCCTGCCTGCTGTGTCGAAGACAGTTCCCCAACAAGGATGCTCTGATCCGCCACCAGCAGCTTTCAGATCTGCACAAAGTAATAACCAGCAACCTCTATACAAACATCAATCAACAGTGGCCTTGTAAATCTGTCCTCTAATACACTATTTATTTTCTGAACAGCAAAATATGGAGATTCACCTTAAGATCAAGAGGTCAAAGAAGGAGCTGGAGGCGTTGGAGAACCAGGAAAAAGAAGTATGGGAAAATTAATAGTTAAGCCACAAAATAAAAGCTAAGGTGTATCAGGCTGACAGTTGGTCATTAAACATGTGCTTATTCCTTCTCAGCTAAATGCCAGAGAACCTACCAAGTCACCAGAACAGAAAAGGAAAAAACACCATCATCAACCGCCGCAGCATCACAACACCTGGGCTGGAAGTTCCAGGTAGGTTTTCTTTTGACTGTTAAAATGGTTTTAAAATGGTTTCATTAACTACTTTACTGACTGAACTGTATTTTCTTCATGCTTAGGGATAGTAAAGTCAGTGATAGACCTGGTTTAGGAGCCGAACCTGCCCCAGTAAGTCTAACGTTGAATTTATTGGCAAATTTCACAGGTTTTTTTAGTTAGTGTATTGAACCTTTCATTGCACTTTTGTCTTCAGCAGAGGAAAAAGAAAGAGCCTGTTGTTTGGGACCATGCCACCTACAAGCAAGCAGTACGGAAAGCCATGTTTGCACGCTTTAAGGAACTGGAGTAATCACATCTTTACTTGATAGTTGAACTTTTGATTTGACATGCTCTCCTCTCGGCATGAGAAATCCCCTCGGACTGGGTTTGTCTCTCCATCTCAGAAATAATGACACTAAGGATCCGCAGTTTTCTACAATGAAAAGATGTGGCCCAAAATAAATATTATACTGGCTTCAGTGGGGCAAAAGTCCAAAAACTACAATTACTTTACATCTTGAATAATGGAGGTTGTATAGAAAGTATCGACTCATGCTCTTGGAGATTTTTGTCCATATTTTATGTGTCCTGTATAAAATTGTCAAATGTGTTTTTTTTTGCAATGATGCAGTCACACTGGCCACAATGACATATTGTTTTAATACAGAACAATTTTTACATTTTCATGGATGAAAGTGCTACTAAATGTATACCTTTTTTAAGTAAAAGAATCATTGTGCTTCGAATGTTTTGGTGGTACTTGTTCTTAATTTGTGTAAGGATTTTGCAAGAGCTTTAGTTTTCTGTCGGTGCGTGCTTTCAATTTCCACTAGGTGGCAGCAAGAGGCCACGCTTCATTTTGTGCTTTGATGTATTTGGGAAAGAAATGCTATTAGAACCATCTCAGTTCCTAGTTTATATGAAGACGCAGAGATGTATACATACAGCTTAAATGGAGTCAAGAACAATGAGGGTGTAACCCATGGACTCCGGATGCACCATGCTTTAGGCGTGTTTCTGTCTCTGCTATGATTTTGCGTCATAGTGAATGCAGCTTTAATATTCCCTAGTTGTGCGGAGCAGGAGTCAGAACATGAAGCCTCCCCTCTGACCTTTACTGATATAAAGGAATCAGCCCTCACCCTCCCTGAGGCTGCGGTTCAATGAGTGCAATGGATTGGTGGGTTTAGTGTGTTGACATACCAACTCCACTGAGAGCCTCAACAAGAACACAGCAGCCTGTGAAGCCTGAAGTGACTGATGAACAGAAACATGGGAGCAAACACCTTTTCATGCCTCCTACTGTGTATTTACTATGGGATGGATGGATGGATGGATAGATAGATTTATTGATTGATCCCAAACTAGGAAATTGTGGTGTTACAGCAGCAGGTTAACAGAGCAAGTAAAAACAATTACTGATAAAGTAAATAGTGAAGTAACTAAATAAGCACTAAAAACAATTAGAAATGTTTCCATCCAGGGTTTAACTTAACATTACTTATAGTCTAAAATGTGAAAAATGAAATACAAAATATTGTCAGTCATATCTAACTGAATGTAAGTAAACCAATGACAAATTTTAGGTATAAAAGAACCAGAGCATGTTGAGCTTTTTTCAAAGCAGCAGTCTGGAAAACATGAATATTGAGTAAGAGTATATGGAGCCTCCCTGTCTGAAGATACAGAGCAGCATGGACCGATGATTCAGTGTAAACTTGTGGCTTTGCAACAGAACAGCACAATAAAAAAACCACAGTGATTATCTCAGGTGGAGATTTTATTGCAGTTTTGAAACCCTGACGTGTTAGTGGACTACTGCCAGTTGTAAAATGAACCATAGAAGCCACCTTTTAATTAAAAGGTAGTGTATATAGCTCTCTTCTCTCTCACTGGGAACAGCTGCAATTATTCTACTGATTAATTCAAGTAGAAATCTGTCAACAAGGAAAGGTTCAAACTGAACTTATCAACTTAGTCAATCCCTACTTAGACTTTTATCTTATTCCTTTTTGTCAGGTTTGCCAACATGCTTTCAAACTGCCTCACCCTTCCCTCAGGATAGGAAAAAAAAGTGTTTTTGGGCATAAGTTAAAACTTGTTCTGTTCATCTTCGGTCTAAAAAAGGACACCAAAATTACCCACTTGGGAAATCTCTGGTTAATATGTGAAACATTTGGTTACATGCATGAACAACTCACTAATTTACTTGTTTCAAATGTATCAGCGGAGTTAATGCTGGAAATCTGCTGATTTTAGAGTAATCTATAACAAGGGAAATATATTTACTGCCTTGATAAAAAATAGCTTTACTCTCACTCTGTTTATCGTCTTGGTGGTCCCTGTATTTCCATGTGTCCTTGAATTAATAGATAACTGGGGTGTCTGCTGTACTCTAAGGGTGTCTCGTCTCTTCAGATCTAGTAAGGTCTTAAATTAAATTGCTTCCATATTTACTGTTTTTTTTCTCTGCCCGTCATGCTGAAATGATCACATAGTTGAATTTGATGGTCAGCTACTCCAATGACAACCAGACAAGTAAATACATGTTCAGAGCAACAGATTCAAGCTTGCTATCTGTGTATTTGCATATAAATTGAGTATTATTAGATTTAAGATTCAGGTGGATTTAGGTTTTATGTAGATTCATTGACCATGATTATCATGACTTAGACCATAAGTTAAATAATGTTTGACCGTTCAATATAAAATGTACATTTTGAATGAAAAGTCTCTGGGATCAGCACAAATTGCCATCAGAAAACTGAAAATCTTAGCTGACTTTAAGGTTACTGTACGATCCAGATCCTATTCAATACAAATGTATTAACAATATAAGCTTTAGGATTCATGTAGACATCTCATATAAAGTCACCCTGTGATGGATTATCTGGATTCCCGTCCCCCCCCCTAAATGCCAGAGAGGAATCTGTCTTTTTCCATTTTTTTTTTATTTGGACTCATTTCCATTCTCACAAGGCCCCCCCAAAGACCCCCCCAGCTCCCAGTGACAGATGTCATCATTACCGAGTCCTAACAGTCTACAGAATTAATGTGTGGTTGGTCTGCGAGGATGAGAGGCCAAACAGAAAAGGAAGGGTGCAGAGAGCTGCCGTGTTAGTGTCCCCTGTGCAGGAGAGGCTTTCAGGCAGCATGAATGGCAGGAAAAGGTGGTCAGGGGGGCCAATTATCTCAGCTGGACGGCTTTTAGCACCAGGCGGGTGGAGCTGGAGCAGCAGTCTGGGGACGAGACGGAAGAAGAACACAGTCAGCAGGACTGTCAGATGTTAAGACGTGCTGTCAGTAGAGGAGAAAGGAGAAGCATCGTGTGATTGCTTTTTAATGGAGGTCTGAAAAAAGAGACACAATGTTGAGAATACATTAAAAACATAGACTTGCATACATATTTTTATTTAAGTTTTTTACATCCATTCATAACACCAGTGGACAAGTGGTTGACCACATACCTTCTAGCTTATTTTTTTCCTTATGTCGGGCCTCTTGAATATATGATTACTGCATGAAATTAAATCCCTGTAGTATTAAAACTGAAACAGATTATTTTACAATATTCTTACATATAGGACGATTGCGTGGTAGTTATTTTAAATCCCGTCTTTGTCTGTTATGACAAATGATCAAAAACGTACCCCATGTAGAGGGACTTCCTTAAGCAGAAGCATGTGTTTGTGGTCACCCCATGCATACACAAGAGTCTATACCATCTCAGGCTCATGGGCAAATTCATGCCTGTCTAAGCAATGTCTCCATCCGGCTTGTTCTTTCAAGTGCAAAGTGAAAAATGATGTCTGTTATTGATTGCTAATCTATAACATCATCTTGAAAAAGGTCCTGGTGATTGTCAGGCGTGGGATGTACTTCAGAGCACAGCTTATTGAGAACATTTGGAACAAAGCTTGTAGCAGAACCAATCCCTCTGGCAGTTCTGTCATTAAGGACATTATAGACATTCAAAACATTTGGAAATGATGTCATGGTTGTGCACTTCAGCAGTGACGGAGAAATGACAGCAGCGATAGCGATATGCTAAAACAGAAAACAGACAGCTGGAATATTTCTTTCTAATCCAAGAAGAACTTTCTGTCCAGGTTTGTACAATTTACATATTTATTTAATTATTACTCAGATAGCTGATTATGATTCACAGATAAGCTGTCACTATCAATTGCTACAACTGTGCTTTGCCTTTGTGAACAAAAAAAAAACCCTAATGTGTTCCATATGAAAGCTTTGTGGAGCAAGTCTGACCTATTTATTCAATATGATTATTTTTCATTGCACTAGCTAATATTAGGCAAGCAGCATCCTCCAGTGTTGACAAATTAAGCTAACACAAAATACTGCGATGCAAAATACTGTGATTCCTTGACTAAGCCCTCAAGTGGCCACTTGAGGTTGGCTCCTTGAGGGAGTAAAAGCTCCCTGAGACTTTATGTAAAAAGCCAAACTTACAGCAAAATTAAACATTTACACCCTGTAAGAAAAAAACAAGTTAATTTGGTAGCTATATTGCTTGAAACCTTTACTGATTTTGTTTAATAACTTGCTCATTTAAGTGATATATTGGCTTAAATATATGTATAATTAGGGTTGTGGTCTTTTTGAGTGACATTTGAAGGCTGCTGGCTGTCTGCTTGGTGTCACCTCATCTATTTGAAGTCTGTGAACTTCACCTCTCAGCTGTGTTCGTGTTGTTAGTGGCTTCTGTATTTTGATGTAAATATTGGACACATGGCTCGCTGTGTGGTAAATTGATGAAAGGGCAACCCCACCAAGTTGATGAATGTAGATCTAATGAATCTCAAATCTAGGCACTCATTTCTATCAGTGCTACTTAGCATACAAAGGTGCCTGCACTCACTGTATCTGACTGGTTAGCTTCTTCAGTGTTTGATTTATTTGTGTTGGTCACTACATGGACTCAAAATTTACGGCAGAGAATACTGCAGGCCACCGTGATGAAAAATACCGTTTTTTTTTGTTTTTTTTTACCCACAGCTCGCTAGGGTAGGGCTAAGATGTGTGCAGCCTTGCAGCTAGTAGCATGTTTGCTACTTTCCCCAAACTCTTGTGACTTCAATATTCTGAAAAATAAACAACAAGAATATTATTCTCTGGGAAACACTGTGGTCTCATTAGCTAATCATTTAGCCTTTGGCATTAACAGTCTAGCTGATAACTTGGTGTTCGCTGACCCCCGGGTACTCCTGAGCTCCACAATCTCCTCAAAATATGGTTACTTGTGGCCCCAATAATCCAAAAGTTTATAAACTAGTGGATGACATCACAGGGGTTACATCTTCTTTTTATACACCCAATTATGCTAGCGTGTCATTCACCAAATAATAATGAGGCAGCAGCAACATATCCATATACCCGAGTCCCATGAACAACAGGGGTACCGTGGTTTGGTTACTTAACTTGCCAAACTATTTGGTTTAGTGTGCGCGCAACATTTCTTAGAATCTGATTCTGTCTGTCTCGTAAATTCTCTCATGGTCATAGAGTTCAAGCACTCAGGTGTGTAGATTTTCATCAGTGTGTATTATTAATGGCTTGTTTAATTTTTAATGTAGTATAAGACTTGGGGAGCATACGGATATATGTGCTGCCACGGACAAAAGCTGCTAAACTTTCTTTCATTGATTTTATAGCAATCACAATAAAGATCTCTTCTAATTCTATGTTATTTCAATTGTATTCTAAAGGAGCATAAGGTTGAGAC